TAAATCAGAAATTAATCACAATCTCAGACAGAGTCTTTTGACAACTAACCAGGGACTGAATAGTCCAAGATGGCCTTACTCATGTCTGCTGATGATCTTGGGCTGTTGTAGGATGCTCTGGTTTTCTGCCATGTAGAGTCTGGTCTCAGATATCTGGGTTTCTAATGGAGTGGTAGTGCTCCAAGAGGAGCAAGAGCCAAGGCACAAGCATCTATTAAGTCTTTTCTCATGTTACTTTTGCTGATTTTCCATTGGCCAAAGTAAGTCCATGTTGAGCCTCAGCTGGCTTGGGGCGAGATGCCACAGGATGTGCTTCATGGAGACCACAAACATGGTGATCAACCACAGACTACATGATCTCTAAGATCTTGTGGTTCCAACACAGTTTTCCCAGGGACACATGGTCTCAGCTTCAGATATGAAATCTAGAAACACATGGATGGAACGTAAGCAGCCCACAAATTCCCCACTGTCATTAGGACCACAAAGTAGGGTTGATCATTTCTCCCATGATGTACAACTCTTTCATGCACATTGACACTTAAAATTGTTTGCCCCTTTAAGACTGGACTTTTTTAGTTAGATGCAATTTGTGCAAAACTGTAGTTGGAAGAGAAAAATTAATGAGATTTGCACATCATTCTATAGTCTTTGAGCTTGATCCTGATTGAATGTATGTGCATGTCATGTATATGGGTTATGTTTAATAAATATTTGGTAATCTCTACCCAAGATATATTAATAAACTCATACTCATAGTGTGTATCTTCCCATTCATGAGAGGAGACTATACATATATATATTTGTCCTCTGCTAAAAGCTAATATGAGGGCCAGAGATTTGGCTCAGTGGTTTTGCCACCTGTCTCGCAAATGCAAGGGCCAGAGTTTGATCCCTGGTACCAAAAAAGAAAAAACAAAAACAAAAAAAAGCAAAACTGATATGTGTCCCCAAAATTCATATGTTGAAACCTTAATTTCCAGTGTAATGGCATTAGAAAGTGGGAGTCTTTGGTAGATTATGGTCATATCAGTAGAACCCTCATGGTTGGATTAATGCCCTTAATATTAAAGGTCCCCGAAAGTCTCTCTTTCTGCCTTGTTGTGAAGACACAACAAGAAATTGGGAGTCTGTAGCCTAGAAGGGGGCCCTTAGCAGAACCTGTTTTAGGATCTGGGTGTTCCTGCATTAGCAGGGTTGGGTTTCTCCTCTGTCCTTGGCTTGAACAAGATGTCATAAAAAATATGGTGAATGGGGCCGCGAATTTAGCTCAGTGGTACCATGCCTGCTTTACAAGTGTAAGATCCTGAGGTCCTGAGTTCAATCCCCAGTACTAGAAGAAAAAAATATGACAGATGTATAAATTTAAGAAGTGAATTACAGTAAAAGGTACAATGCCATCCGTTCCTCTCAAAACCCTCCTCCTTTCTTTGAACATACTTATCCCACCATTTTTGACACTTTCTGAAACAGTTCTGGAAATCCTCTCTTGTCTCTTTAGTTGCAATGTCCTGGTTGCCTTTATGTCCTTAACAGACACAAAACCTTTATCTTTCATTTTGTCTTTGGGGAAGAGCCAGAAATCACATGATGCCAGATCTGGTGAGTAAGGTAGATGAGGACACACGGCAATGCTTCTATGAGACTGCCTTTCTGTTGAATGGTACATGGTAGCAGCATTCTCCATATTTTTGATCTACCTCATAAAGACACTCATAAAAGAGGAACTGCTTCAGAAAGTGGCAAGAACGATGGGAGAAGCGTGTTGCAAATGAGGGGCAATGTTTTCAGAGGAAGCTAATAACAATGTATCTTTTACTGTAACAAGTTAAAAATTTAACCTTCCATTGTATTTTTGGGTCACACTTGGTAGATAGCTGGCTCCTTCCTGTGTTTTCAAGTGCTCATTTCTGTATGCCTGAACATCCTTAATGTCTTTCTCTCTTTCTAAGGACTTTAATCAGATTGGATTAGGGTCCACATTAATTACCTCATTTAAGACTTTTTAAAGGCCTTTTCTCCAACAGAGTCATATTCTGAGGTACTGGAGGTTACAGCTTCAATATATGAATTCAACAATTCGCCTTATAACAGATCCAAAGGAGACACTTCCATATCTCACTTGGGAACTGCCGGAGAATTGTTTTTGGGCTGGGTCAGAGTCAGCACCTACCTGCCCAGGTAGTTCTGATCAAATGCTGCAGAGTCCCATAGAACGCTGCACATGGACAAAAGCACACGAATACGCACACAAGACCTTGCTGGTACAGAGAATTCTGCCCACTGGGTTGGCCCCCATTTCACCATCCTGGCTACCAAGGCTCTCATCATAGTCACAGTAGAGAAATCAGACCCAGATTCCGAGGCCCCATCTGAACAGCACTGTGCTCTCTGATGGACTTACTGGTTGCATGTTAGACCTCATGAGTGACCTAGTGTATGAGCAGATAGTTGTTACTGTCCACTTTGGGCCATGAGATGAGTCTCAGCAGGGTCAGGCATGGACCTAGTATAAGTGAACAAACCAGAATTTAGTGAAGATCTGCTACCTCCAAAGCCATGCATTTCCCAGGGCTACCATAGAGGCAATGCTTCAAATATAAAATAACCCTAGACTTCATGGTGCTTAACTTTATAAGCCAACCTGACTGGGTCACAGGGTGTCCCATTATTTGGTTGAACTTATTTTGGGTATAGAGGTGTGTTTCTGGATGAGATCGACATCTAAATTGGTGGACTGAGTAGAGCAGATTGCTCTGCCCAATGTGTGTGGACCCATCCAGTCCACTGAGAGCCTGAACAGTGCCAAGGGCACAGTGGGGAAGGATTTGTTCTCTCCCTGCCTGGATGTAGCAGGGATGCTGGTTTCTCTCTTGCTATTCAGCTTCCACAGTCATGTGAGCCAATTCTGTATCTTTCATCTCTCTCTCTCTCTCTCTGTCTCTCTCTCTCTGCATGTATGCATATATGTGTGTGTCCCCTTTTTTCTCAAAAAGCCACACTAACACAGACTCCCAAATACTTTACAAATGCTTTTCCCACATAACTTAATAAGCTACTCACCTATCTTCTTGTTCAATAAAAACCAATCAATAAAAAGTAATTTGATTTATTCTAATTTTTGTATCAAATTGAAAATAATAATATCGTGCTTTGAAACTGATCTCTATCCAGATTTTTATGTTTTAAAATGATTTTTCTGTGTACAAGATGAGTGATGGAGCTTTCAAACTCTTCTTTCAATTCTTACTATTAAACTTGTGCTCATCAGGTGAGAGGGATGGGCTGGTGTTTGCTGAGTGACCGCTGTGTGCAGGCAGCAGTGCAAAGCCACACATAATCTTTACAAGCATTGCCTTAGTCAGTGTCTTTCTTATATGTGTTGGGGTTGGATGGCCTCTCTGAGATCATTTGCTGAGAACATTCTAGGAACATGCACCAGTTTGTCAGGATTTTTTAAGTCCATAGACTATCTTTACAGGGGCAGGGCTGCATTCCAAATAGGGCTGGACTGCTACGAAATTCTCAGGATCTTACCAATCCAACATATGGGAGACAGGAGCACATCTTATACAAAAAATCCCAGCTGAGCTGTCTTTCTAGGTTCCCCCTGCCTTGTCATCGGGTCTGGAAAGCAACACGCCCATCATGGGCCGCTGACTGCAGAAGACAACCCTAGAACAGCCAGGACCCTGTGGGTATCAGAACCCCGAGGTGAATGTTCAGCCTTAATCACACTTCTTGTCGGTAGCACTTACACATGGAGTTGATGAATTTAACAAGAAACACATGTTTTCATTTAAATTACAATTAGCAATTAGAGAGTTAAGTGTGCCCTAGATAGAATATATAATTGTTGTTGAGTTTGTGGCATAGTTACTTTACTGTTGCCATTCTCTTTTTATGTTTTGCTTTATGATTTTATAGTAAATTTATGCAGAAGTGGTGAGAGAAGCCCCAGCTAAATGAAAGTGCTGGTTTGGAATCATTTGCTTCTACAAAAAAATAAAAAAGGTCACCATCCCAGACCCACTGCAGACTCACTGCCCAATAGGATTCTCCTTGTTTTAGGGAAAGTAGGAAGAGAAGACAGTTTACATATCCTTTTACCAATTTCAGCTGGATAATTTGTTAGTGAAGGCTGTGGTTGGCCCTGTCTCCCTACAACTTGGTATTATTTCCTGAAAACTCAGAAATAGCCATTCACTTTCTCCATTGGGTCTTCTGGAATGTTCCATAGTGAAATTAATATTCACCTCTTTTCAACAGGGGTTGCTTTCTTAAAAAAAATAAGTACAAGGAAAGGTGCCAACATATACTAGTTGGGGGACGAATCAGGTGCATTCCAGATGGGAGAGAGCTTGGCTAATGAAATTGTAAGAGGGAAATCTACAGGGCTGAATGGCCATTTTGCACCCATTTCTGGTTCATAAAAAGTTTCTGTAGTGAAGCAGGTTGCCAGTCTAGTGGGTAAGTAAGTCTTAGTGAGGAACTGCCCCCCCCCCATAAATAAATAATAAAATGAGATACGGTTTATGGCAGAATTACCACTGGAACTGAGTGCAGTACGCATCATAGCCAAGGCAAGTAATTTCAGATAGCATGGAAATCTACATGTATAACTCCTTGGCACCATCTAAGAGCCATGCAATTTCTAAATTTTAGCAAAACCAGACACAGGCGAAGAAAGATTCCTCCTGAGGTAAATGTCAGGAACCTGAGACTTCTGGCCGTGTTGGTGTCTCTGGCAAAGGGGCAGATAGATGGCCACATATCACTGAGAGAATCGCTGCTGGGTTTCTTCAAAGTGATATGGGTTGGGGGGATGGAAAGACGTGGTTTTTACAACAGCCAGTATTTTATTTTATTTTTTTTTGTAGCCTCGTAGAACCTGTCACTGAACCTAAATGGATACTGATTTCCGGCTTAGCAAGGTTCCGCAAATCTCTGTAGGTCAAAATACCAGGATGAAAAATAAGTTTCCCTGTCCATTGTTTCAGGGGAGAGTGAGGTTCATGGGACAGGATTGTGGTCATGGTGCACTGCACAGCAGCAGAGGACAACTTCCTGGAGAAGACTGAAAGCCAGGTTCCACTTTCTCCACCCTGTTGTTTTCATCTCCTGGAATTGTTTGTCTTGAGCATCAGAGATGGAGAGTAAATTTTCGACACGCTGACAGCCCTCATGGAACATCTGCATAACGATGGAATTTATTTTGTTCATTATGACTGCCGAGGATAGCAGAGGGCTTTATTTCACTCCCACTGACTATTTCTGTTTTCATAAATTATCCAGCATACTCCTCCTGTAAATGGCCAGCAGTCTTTAGAGAACTGGCAAATAATCTCCAAGTTGTCTCTGCTTCTTCATTTTGGTTATTTCTGTTTCATAAAAGTTATGACATATCAGACCGAACAGGGATCAAGAAGGCCTCTAATAAATACTTTTCAACAAGCTGCAGACAAATCTAATAACAGAGCCACAGAAGCTTCAAAAGAAACCTCTAAACATTTCCCTAGCCCCAAGAGCTCAGGACCGGGTGCACCTTTCTGTAGAATCCAGTACCTATTACTGCTCTGAGCATTTTGTTTTGTGTGTAATGATAGAAACTTCATTTTGCCCACTTAGAAACGACCCAGCTCTGTGGGAATCTCTGCATTCTTCACAATAGCTGTGTTTCCTTTGAGTTTTTTGAAAACATAAGGGATATGAATAGAAGCATCCCATGAGTAGAAAAACAAACAAGGGCCACAAGCCTTCTGCACAAAAGCATGACCCACACAGGAGCTGCATCAGATGTTCTGCATCAATCAAGGCCTCGCATATCATTTTCTTTCCCCTCTTGCTCTCATTTATCTTTTCTTAGGATTTGGCACAAAGAACACAGACCTGGACCTGGAGTTGTAATTTCAAATAGTTGATCTACAGTCTGGGCTACATGCTGGAGGGGTTCCCAGCATTGTCTTGCTGAAATATGCATCGTCCTTATGGAAGGGAAGGTTTGACAAAGGGAGAGCTGGGCTTCAGGAATGGGGAAGGGGTTGTGTGGAATCTGAGGCCGGACACAGGCTTTGCCTATCATTTACCTGCAAAGCCCTGGGAACAGAACCAACATGCAGATGTCCTGGGGAGATGGTTATCCACCTGATGAAGTGGTGTAAGATGTCATGGGGCTCAGTCTTGCACCCCACAACAGAATTCTCAGAGCTCTTTTGATCTAAAAGACTCACTCAGCTATGAAAGTTTTCTGCCTGCAACATGATTTGTTCCTAGGGTCTCAATGTCCCAGGATAGGGTACAAATGGACTGGTATGGAAGGAAGGGAACATGAGGTTTGTTTCTTTATCCACAAGCATCCTTGTCTTCATTGCTTTCCATCTACTGTGCCATGCTGTGCTTCACATCAGTTGGGTAATGTCACAAAACTGTAGAGACCTGAGCAGAGGTTTCCTGGACCAGGAAGAGGAAAGGCCATTTCTCCCAGCTAGCAATCCAGCTGGAGCCTCCTGGAGCCTGCCCCTTGGCCAGGAGCAAGTCTCCTTTCTCTGCCACCTTTGGTGTGACTTGTTCTCTCTACTGTCATTCACATTCTTCTTAGTTTTTAGGATCAGTCCTGTCTGCCTATTCAACACAAGATGGATTCCTCTAGCTGAGTCCTGACTTACCAAACAAAAGTCTGAGTGTCAGTATCTAAAGATAGCTTAAAACACATAAAATCTACTAACTTTCATGTGGGGTGAATAAACCCAGAACTGAGACTCTCAAAGATTCAGAGATGTGTGAGGACAAGGATAGGAGGGAGCAGAGTGTAGAAATAAGAGCAGAAAGTAATTATATTCCTTTCTGAAATTACAGAGGTGGAGACTAATAATAAATTTTTCAAGCTCATCCTATTAAATCATATACATATCAGATACTATATTTGATGCTTTTATATGTTTTCCACTGAATCTTTATAAGTTTGTGAAGCAAGTAGTATTTCCTTCATATTATAGATTAGGGAATGGATGGAAGTTACATTCTTTTAATAAACTGTAGTGTGCTGGGCACTTTAGATATCTTTTCATTAAAATTTGCTAACCCCTAAGATTTGTGAAGAAATCAAGGAAGCTGACCTGCTTAGAAATAATGCAAAACATTTAGAGTTATCAACCTGGTGAACTCCAGGAAAGACTCCTAAATGTTGGGTTAAAGGTCAAAGCCACACCACAGTCCATTTGAGCAGCCAACTCAGGGCTAAAGTACTCTGGGTCTTATACGCTCCCTTTAGAAGTTTTTTCTGAATCAGTGATCCTAGGTCTTGTGAAGTTATTTGTGAGGCTTATGGGAATAAAAAGAGTGAAAGAAAGGAGGGGGATTAACTTCACTGAAGCCCAGAAACAACAGTGCTTATTAATTAGATACAACTAGAAGGCAGATGAATGCTAAATGAAAAATTTTATTTTTAGTTCTCACTCTGCCTGCTGGACTGCTCTGCTCTCCCCATGGTATAGCAATGATAATGCTATTTTTTAAAAAGCTGCACAATTCTCTTTCATCATTGCTGAACACTATTTATTGAGTGTCTACATGGACGTGCAGTTGCTGTGAAGTATCATGATATCTGCTGATTGACGAATTCATAACACATAATGTAGCTGGGCCTCTGGGTGTCTGGGTGCAGAGCTGCAAGTTTTGAACAAATCAGTATTTAGCAATCCCTTTCCAGTGCACCAAGCTGAGCCATCGGTCCTTGGCCAACCTGAAAGGTGGACAGAACAGAGCCCATGTCCCTTCTCACTCAGCTCCCACCCCTTGTCTACCCTCAGACCCAAAGCAGTTAGACCCTGGGCTGTTTCCCCAAAACCACAACATGAAAATTTCCAGCAAGGACAGCAAAATGTTCCCAAGTTCCCAAGCTCCCCCATCCCATCTTCTTCTCCAGTTAATACCAAAGGTTTCAATCGTTGTGGAAATCTGAGCTCTAGTATGTGATTAGAGTCCTGTTTCAGAAAATGCATTCCCAAGCCTCCAGGTCCTATGGTGACTTTCTCAATCTCCAGAAGCCATGGGGGTAGGACTGTTATGTGAGATGCATCTCAGGAGGTGGTTTATTTTTTCCCCTTTATGGCAGACTTTCGCTAGTGGGGAGCCAGGCCCTGATGTGTTGGGGTCTTGGCTGCCTGATGGGCCGGAAGTGAGAGGAACTGGAGTTTTCCAGTGCTTTTTGGTGCTTGAAGCTGTGAACATCAAAGGATTTGAACTGTCTGACTATCAACTGACACTACTAACCTCTGACTGAAAGGTGTGCTGCTCAGAGGGCCATCTGTGGAACTACACCTTTCCTTTCTTTTTCCCTTCTTATCCAAAGTATAAGTTCCTTAAAGGAAAGATCAGATACTTTATCTATTTTTAAGAAGAGTAATTTGTCCTCTGTATTTTCAGGTTCCATGTCCACAGATTTAAACAACTGAGGACTGAAAATATTAGTGAAAAATTGTGTTTGTAGTGAACACATTGACTCTTTTTTTGCCATTATTCCCTAACTACGCAGTATAACTACTATTATGTAGCATTTACATTATATATTAAAGTAACCTATGGATATTTGAAAGTATACAGTGGATATGTGTAGGTTATGTGCAAATACTATGCCATTTTATAAAAGGGACCTGTGCATTTGCAGATTTTGGTATCTGTGGGGTTTCCTGGAACCAGTCACTGGAAGATATTGGGGTGGAGGCTGAAGTACTCATTTGTCAAATACAGAACTTAAATATCAGTAGTGGGTTTGCTTAGTCACAGCTCAGCATTAGGCAAATTTTTTTTTTTTTTTTTTTTTTTTGTATTGGGAATCGAACTTGAGTCCTTGGACTTGCGAGGCAGGTGGCAGAATCACTGAGCTAAACACCAGCCTTAGGCAAACGTATTTTAATTAATTTATTTTTCCCCCAAATAACTGTTATCAACTTTGCTTCTCAAGACACATCATTACAGGTAGGTACATCAGGAAAACTGGAAAATTTCCCAGTTAGGGTATGTCTCTATAAAATTTCAGACTTACTGAGGAATTTCTAAGCTTTTTTTCTGATTAAATTGGTTGGTGATTTTTCAGTCAGTTCAAAAAGAAGCTCTGTGCGATGGTAGCCAGCCTCCAGGTGGACCCCACCATCTTCACCTCCCAATGTTTGTGCCCTTGTGTGTTCTCCTTTCGCGTTATATCAGGACTGTTCCCTGTAACACTAGAATGTGACAGAATTCATAGTATGTGACTTCTGGGGCTAAGCCACTTATAATATTTCTGCTTCCATCTTGCTCATTTGGATCACTTTCCCTGGAGGAAGCCAGCTGCCAAGTGATGAAGACACATATGCAGCCTAAGAAACTGAGTGCTGACTTGGAAAATAAATGAGCGAGCATTCTTCATGGTGGGTCCTCCAGTGCTGGTCAAGCCTCCAGTTAGCTGTCACCCTGGCCAGGATCTTTACTCTGCCCCAACAGATACCTCAATCCCAAACCATTGGCTAATCCATTCTTAATTTCTTGACTTTTAGAAACTATATGAGATAATAAATAGTTGTTTTAAGCCACTAAATGTTGGGATAATTTGTTACAAAGCAGTTTCTGCCTCTCCCCTTACTTTTTCTCATAAGGTCTGGTTGATGCTGATGTTTAGTACCTTTGGTGTATTTCACTCTCTTTGGTGACCCAAGTAATGACAGATATTGGCTGGACCTGGTTTCCTCTGATAAGTGATTTTTATGGGTTGTTCCCTTGAGTCAGGCAGGGTCAATGGCTTTCTCCTTAGCTCTTTTCCTTTAGCTCCTTACCTTTCCCTTCTTTATCTTGGCTTCTTTTAGCTCACACCTGCACTGCAGACCTCTTCCCCTGGTCAAGTTGTCCCTCCTGGCCGATCATTGGCCTGGAAGTTCTTCCCTATATCCATTGAGGCCCTCTGGTCATTTTGTTGGGACTATAGCAACTTTCATGGAAATGTGTCAGTCACTCCTTTTGCCACCTTTCTTGTTCCTGCAGAGCAAATGAGGCAGGAGATCAGGGCACGGTAGCCTTGCTGGAAAACAGGATGTAACCTGAGCCGGAAAGGAGGGTGAACAACAGTATCAGTGAAAATTTCTACCACTTCTGAAAACTTCTTTTCTGACACATCTATCTTATTCCTTAGGGCAGTGTTTTAGTTACTTTCTTTGTAGCTGGAACAAACAAACACCCAACACCCACAACTTAAAGGAGGAGAGGTGTTTTTGTTTTGCTCAAGGTTACAGCCCAAGGTTGGTCAGCTCTAAGCAGAAACTGTATGGTAGAAAGGCC